AGATGCAGGCAAATATAATACTTTATAACGATAGTAGAATCGAATACCTTCTTGGCTTAGTTGTTCGATACGTTCTGTTTTTTTATCAAGTTGTTCGCTTAATCTGGATGCTGCTTGTAAACATTCTTTAGCTTCAGCTAATTGTTCCTATTAACAATTATCGAAGGATTATGTATTTTCACATTAAATATTAGAGAAATAGTAACATTTTTAACATTTATACATAACTATATAAATATACCTTAAGATTTGTAACATCATTGGTTAACTCTTCCCTTTTCTTATAAGATTCGTTTAATTTAGATTGAATTCTTTCTGTTGCCGCTATGATATCTTTTTCTTTATCTAAAAATTATCAATATACAAATCATTATCATCCAATTATCGTTATAAATGATGATAACAAAACAATATAATATTTTATAATATTTTACGTTGCTCTTAAGAAACTGTTTGAATTACCTCGTTGGAATTGTTCTAGGACAATTTGCAAATTAGTCAAAGACGCAGTTTGGGATAGGATCTTGTCTTCAGCAACGGATAATTTATTTTGTATATCATCCCTTTGTTGAACAATCAATACCATTTGTTGCTGCAATGTTTCCACTTGTTGATTTGCCCTTATATTAGCAGAAGTATACGCGTTCGAGCTGGTCTTCAACTTTTCCTCAGCCTGCTGCAGTTTCGCTTCCAATTCTTTTCGCGCTTCTTCGGCAAGCAAAGCATCTTCCGTGTAATTCGATTCCATTTCAACCAAATGCGATCTTAGCCTTTCTAATTCTTTCGCGGCGTTCGCTTCTTTGCTCTGACTCTCGCCAAGTTGATTCTGCAACATTCTGTTGTTCGATTGTTCTTGAATTAGAGCTGCTTCTAACGCGTTACACTTCTCAGTGAGAATCTCGATTTCTGATGCTTGCGTTGAATGCTCGACAATCCCACAAGTTGCCCCGTTGCTCGAGTCTTCAGCGTTTCTCAAACGCTGTTGGACTGCTTGCAACTCGTTATTGGTCCACAAAAGTTGAGCATCTTTTTCCTTCAGATCGGATAAATGTATATCCTTCTCTGCTAGTAAACTCTGAATCTGCGACGTTTGCTCGTTCAACAGTTGCGTTAATCTTTGGATTTCCCCATGATATTGCAGACTTTCATTGTGCTTGACGGTTACAAGTTTCACGAGTTCGTCCCTTTCGTTCTTTACAGTCGTAAAATGATCCGATGTTTCTTCATTATTTTTAGCAAGATGAAGTGCATTTCTCAGACTATTGATTTCTTCGTCTTTTTCTTTAATAAGGTGAGACAGACTTTCTATCGTTTGTTTACCCATATCAATCGATTCCTTATAACCCTCGATAGTATCTTGTATTTTCTTTCGCATATCCGTAATCTCCGCGGTTAATTTACTATTTTCGTTTTTTAGAACGTCGTTTTGTCGTTTCTCCTCCTCTAAACACGCTGCAATTTGTTGTTTTTCGTTGTCATAGGCATTTATACGATTTAACAATTCCTTTCTCACCTCTTGTAGACACGATACGTCGTATTCCAATTTCTTATAATTATCCCGAATTACTTCGTATTCGCTCTTCAAACTTTTATTTTCTTCCGTGACAGTTGCAAAATTTTCTTGCAACTTTGTCAATTCCCTCTCCCTCAAACGTAAAGTCTCCACTTCGTTCATCAATTGAGCATAATCATTTTGCATGGAACTTAATTTTTCCGTTAACTGGTTAATCTCAAATTCATTCTTTAATTCTTCGTGCTTTTTTATTTCATTTTGCAAATTCTCGTTCTCCAATTGAAATTTTTCCGCCGCTTTATTCATTGAAAAATAATCGCTCTCCAACTTCGCATATCTTTCTTCCGCCTCTCGTAACTCTTCTCTAATTTCACTTAGCGTCTCCTCCTTACTCGTTACTCTTTCTTTCAATTCCGACATTTCCTGTTCCAACAGAGACTTTTCCGTGCTCACCAAATCTATCTTATCGTTGGAATCGTCTTGAATGGCAGTCAACTGTTCTAACAGGGAATTCTTCTCTTTCGTTAAACTTTCATTTTCTTGGCCCAATCTCGCTATGCAATCCTCTTTCGCGTCTATCCGATTAAATGCCTCGTCCAATTCTTTCCTCATGTTTAATATATCGTACTCCAAATCATCTCTCTCGCGATTAGTTCTGTTCAATTGTTCCTGGAGATCTCTCAACGTGTCGTTACTCCCCGCCTCCGAATTGCTTTCACGCCACTGCGAGATCTCCATTTCCAATTGCTCATTCCTTCGAGACAATTCCTCGTTCTCCTTTTGAATCTCGTCCTTCGTGCCTCGAATTTGCTCCAACGTATTCTCCAATTGCCTCGTATTAGACGTGGACGTTTTTAATTCTCGCCTCGTGTTCTCAAGATCGAGTTTCAACTCCTCGATGAATTCGATATTTTCGTCCAAATCTTTGCACTTCTCCAACGACATCCTCAATTGTTCCTGCATCTCTTTCTCCGTTCCCTCCAACAGATCGATCTTTCTTCGTAACTCGTCGTTCTCGTCCAACGTCATGTGCAACTTCCGATTCAGACTTTCCATCGTGTTGAACGTGTCCTCGATATCCTCCGGGATATTTTCCAATTTTCCTTGTTTCCTAGTTTGAGAGGACGTCGCGCTACCTTGAGTCTTTAATCGGGCCTCGTTCGGGCGTATAATAGCGTTTTTCTTTCGCAACGAGTTCTTCTTACGCAGCACGGAATTCTCGGCTTGAAGATGTTTCACTTCCTCGTTCAACGACTCGATTTCCGACTCTAAAGAGACGACTCGCTCCTCGTTCGCTTCGGGTATGGGCGGTAAATTTAACTTTAAATCTTCGATCTCCTGCAACAACGTGTCGATATGAGTCTGTTTAATGTTACACTCCATTTGCAGGTCATCCTTCATTTCTACGACTCCTTTCAACTCTCTGTTCAACTCTGATACCCATTTCTCTACCACATCTTTCTTCCATTTCACGTCTATGTACTCTTTCGCCAGGGTCTCGAAAATCGACTCGTCTGGTTCTATCTCAACGAAGAACTCTTCAAAATATCCTTCACCCTCTTGGTTAATTCATTCACGTCGATTCTCTTCTCCTGCACCTCGATCGTCTCCCTCTCTTCCACCATTTCTGGATCGATCGTCTGGATACATTTATCTACATATTCTAAACTATTATCAGTTTGCACGAAACATGGAACAGTTTCTGTTCGTATCAACGTGCTCGATTCCTTAAGTTACCTTCCAATTGGACGACCTTATCTTGAGCCTGAT